TTGGACTGGCACGTGAGTTGTTGGTTGAGTGGGCTTCCTCACTTTGAGCTGGAGGTACAGCATTCCCTGGCAGCTTGGAACTGTGCAGGTCGTGGGTGGCACTGAGTTGTCGCTCCCCGTCTTCGTGGGGGAACGACACTAAACCCTGCCTAGGCTTCATATCCGAGTCACGGCACCATTATGTCGCTCCCCCTCTTCGTGGAGGAGCAACACAGGACCCTGCACTGTTCTTTCGTCTGCTCGGCCCTCCCCGGGTTTGCTGCTGGTTTTTCCCGGGTTGGCTACTATCCCTTCCACCTCCGTGGAAGGGCAGTTCCCCCTGGCCGCATTCCCCACTTCCGCAGGGGAGCGGCACACCGCCGGCCGGTTCTCTCGGGGGCTGCACGGGTTCCCTTAGATGTTCCCCATAGATGTTCCTGGTGCATGCCGTCTCTCTCCTCCTTTATAGTCCTCCTCCGCCAATCCCAACTCGGCTGCCCACACGCCGAGTACGCTGCTCTCCTCCAATCAGGAGCAAGTCCTACAGTTTATTAGTTGAACTGGAGGCAGCTGTGCGGAAGCTGTTTACCTCTCTCCCAGCGCCATATTGTGGGAGAGCAGATGCATAGAACAAGTCCTAATTCCAGCAACTCAGTCCAGTCCGGCCTGCTCCCCACACTGAGTGAGACCCAGCCAGTTTCAGGCATGGTGTCGGAGTGCATTTGAAATGCAGTGCAGGTGAACTGCCCTGGACAGTTGGGGAAAGAAACAGAAAGTAAACATACAAAGTGGATTATGCTAGAAGTAATTTTTTTCTTATTCTCTTTGAAAAAAATTGCTTTCACAATGCACCGTGATTGGAATGCAGCGCGGCCGTGAGGTGAGTGGTTTGGCCGAGGGCTGGCAGAGTCGCTCGTTCAGCTCATGAAGAGAAGTGGACCTCTGGTGCCCGTGCTCAGCAGGGCCCTCGTGCTGTCCCCCTGATGGCTCAGGGATGACTCGGAAGTTGATACGGAAGCCTGCTGTGTTCTTGAAGTCCGTTAATGAGGCTGTCTCTGCGGAGCTGCTCCCTGAAGGCGAGCGCTCGCACATGCAGACGTTGGGAGTGAGAGAGGGCACTCACGGGGCCCTCCAGTGACCCCAGCGCGTGCCGGCGTCCGGGAACCCCTGCCAGGGAAGACACGGTTTTCAGCGTGAGACCGCTTCATCTGATTCTGTGGAAGGTGAAGTATAACTTTCTGGCGGAAGTATTGGACAGACAGTCGGCTCAGCCAGTGTCTTTTTGTTAGAGCTGTTCTTGTGGGGGACAGCGGTTTCAGCGTCTGTTGGGAAGAGTGTGTGTAAGCCCGGCAAAGTCCTGGTTTCATACCTTGCCTTGGACGTACGCTGATGGGTGAACTTCAAGGAGCTTTATGACCTTCCTAAAGGCACAGCTTGTTTCTCTGAGAAACGGAGCTGCGAGTCTGCCGGAGGGCGCGTGGCGAGGCCCGAAGCTCCTGGTGGCTGTTAAAGAGCACTCGTTGGGGTCTGAATCTTGTTCAGCCTTGGTCTTCCCCCAGCTCAGAGGCTGGCTGCAGCTACATTAGTTATGTGATAAGGTGGCTCTCGTCCCACTCTTGTGCTGCACGTCCCCCACTGCCTAGCTGTTTGATGTTGGGTTGCTGGGACAGGAACCAAGTGCACTGTAGTTACTGTAGCCGAAAGCAGAGGATTGCAAGAATGACTTCCTTGATTCATTCTGGCTCATCAGTACTGCGTTGTACCATGTTACTTACTTCTTTGTTGTTGTAAGAATCTAAAGTGAGTTAGGGCACTTGAGAGAATGGATCTGTGGGTTTGTAAAACGGAGTTAGGACTCCTTGCCCTTCTGTGGCTTTGGGGAGCTGACATGGACACGAATGGGGCGAAGCAGAACGCATCTTGCCAACTCCGTGTTCTGCCTCTTTCCTTCGTTCTCTTTGAATTAGTTTTCTTCTAGAATTATGAAAAACATTTTCATGGTTCCAGAGTAAAAGCTATAAAATCCAGAGAATTCTAGATTGCAGTCCTGCTGTTCCCACTTCATTGTTGTCTTCCTGCCCCCAGTTACCAGCTTTTTTTTTTTTAATTTTTTTTTTTTTTGACAGGCAGAGTGGACAGTGAGAGAGAGAGAGAGAGAGACAGAGAGAAAGGTCTTCCTTTGCCGTTGGTTCACCCTCCAATGGCCACCGTGGCCGGTGCGCTGTGGCTGGTGCATCGCACTTATCTGATGGCAGGAGCCAGGTACTTATCCTGGTCTCCCATGGGGTGCAGGGCCCAAGCACCTGGGCCATCCTCCACTGCACTCCCGGGCCACAGCAGAGAGCTGGCCTGGAAGAGGGGCAACCGGGACAGAATCCGGCGCCCCACCTGGGACTAGAACCCGGTGTGCCGGCGCCGCAAGGTGGAGGATTAGCCTAGTGAGTCATGGCGCCGGCCCCCAGTTACCAGCTTTATCAGTTACTGGTTTATTCCTCCTTTGAAAATGGGTGTGTGGGTGTTTGTTTTACCTGTGCTGTTATGCCCCTGACCGTCTCCACTCTACTGCCGGTAACGCCGTAACGGTGTCTGCGGTGTCTGTCTCCTTCTGTCACATCCATGATGCTTCGTCCTGGCTTCTGTTGGTGGACGTTTAAGTTGCTTCCAGTTCTCATGGTTGCTAATGACATTTTGCTAAAAAATATTTGGAACAGATTCCTAAAATCAAAGCCCATTTATTGATTCAAAGAAGTCACACAATTCAATTTGGGGAAACGGTAGCTGCGTGAACATCATTGTGATTCCGTGAGATACGTGCTTGTGGAGGTGAGAGCTAGCGGTGGTGGAGCCCTGGGTGACTTGGGTGGAGCCCAGGAAGCTCGTGGCTTAGCCACGAGGTGACGATTGAGTCTGGGAGGAAGAGGAGGAGGCTGCGTGGCTGCCCACGCCGGCAAGAGTGTTCCAGCCGGAGGAAGCAGTGCCAAGGAGGAGTCTGCGGTGTGGGGGCGCTGGGTCACAGCTCTGTGGGTGGGGGTGGACCCTGAGACTGCGTCCAGAGCTCACGGATTAGGTGGGGGTCTCTGCTTGTTGATCCTGATCTAGAGTGGGTGCATTTCCGCAATGCCCGGTTGAGAAATCTGCCTGAAATAATTGTACTTCCTTTGTCTTGATTTTCTCCCCGAGGTAGGCACCCTCTGCCAGTCGTCTTTCTCCCCAAACTCTTGGATAAACTGGGAGGGGGCCCAGGGCAGTCAGCGACTGTGCTCCCCTCCTCAGACCCGGAGCCTGCACTCTGCTGGTTATGGATGCTTGCTGCTGGCTCTTTGCCCGGTTTGAGGCCCCTTTCGCAGTAACACGCTGGGTTTGATTAGGGAGAGAGAGGTGAGGTGAGGGTGGGCGGGGCTGGGCTGGGTGGCCCAGGCTTTCGTCTCATCGGCTGGAGTTGTTGTTTTGTCTTAGTGGAGAGCTAAATATCCACGAGAGATCAGGACTGAGGGAGGGGTTGGCAGAGGGGGACGGCAGGATGAGCTTTGCGGCTTTGAAAGGTGGATTGGAGAGGGTGTGGCACGGCGGTGGCAGCGGTGTCGCCTGGAGCTTGCCGCACTCTACCCCAGACCAGCCAAATCAGAAGTGACTGCACTCTCACCATGCTAACAACGTGAGGGTCCGTCAGGCTGCAGCACTGTTTGCGAATGGTTTTCATATGAGTTACGTAGTTGGTTTTGTGGACGTGTTCACTATCTTTGGACCCGTGTTTTACATTTCTGGTGAAGAGTAGAACAGGCATCTAGGATTTCACTGTGCCCGTGTTTTACATTCACAATGAGGAGAAAGAGCATCACCATGAAGGACTTGGTGATTGGGTTGTTTCTGTGAGAGCCCAGTAGGAAAAGATCGGAAGAGCTGGGATATTGTGGTACTACGTTATTCTTGGAAGACGGGAGGCAGTCTAGGATCATGTGGACAAAGAATCTACAGCCATGCAGAGATACTGGAGTGAAGTGAAGCAAGAGAGCTGTCGCTGGGTGAATGCCCTGAATTATGGCTGTGTGTGACCTTGGTGTCTAATGTGGTTGGGAAAACTGGTTGAAGATGTTGTGAAACGGAATGTGAACTTTGTGGGAAGCCCCCAGGATGTGAGATGCTGTGTGCGGTCAGCTTCGCGTGGTCCGTGGGTAAGCAGCAGTCTACCTTGTGTCTCCGGGTAGTAGCTGGCAGCTGATTTGCATCTAGCCCAGTTTTTGTTTTTCTTTGAGAGTGTGAGAATTTCGAGTTACTATTCACCCCACGGCTGGTGTTCGGTGCGGTGCTCAAGGTGCTTCTTTATTTTTTCTTTTTTTTTTTTCTTTTTTTTTACAGGCAGAGTGGACAGTGAGAGAGAGAGAGACAGAGAAAAAGGTCTTCCTTTTCCGTTGGTTCACCCTCCAATGGCCGCCGCGGCTGGCGCACCGCGCTGATCCGATGGCAGGAACCAGGTGCTTTTCCTGGTCTCCCATGGGGTGCAGGGCCCAAGCACTTGGGCCATCCTCCACTGCCTTCCCGGGCCACAGCAGAGAGCTGGCCTGGAAGAGGAGCAACCGGGACAGAATCTGGTGCCCTGACCGGGACTAGAACCTGGTGTGCTGGCGCTGCAGGCGGAGGATTAGCCTAGTGAGCCGCGGCGCCGGCCAAGATGCTTCTTGGGTTGCCTGCACCGCGTGGCCAAGTGCTTGGGATCGAATCCCATTTCCTTTTCCAGTCCAGTGTCCTGCTGGTGCACAGTGGCCTTTGCCGACCACGTGGGAAGCTTGGATTGAGTTCCTGGCTTCCGGATTTGTCTTGGTCCAGCTCAAGCTGTTGAGGGTGTTTGGGGAGGGAACCAGCAGATGGAAGGTGTCTTGTTTGTCCCTTATTGAAATGGTACTGAGCAAAGCTGGTAATCTTCTTGTTCCTCGGTTAGGCACAGACAAAGCAGATGCTGTGTGAATCCCAAAGTCACGTCTCAAAGGATGAGTGATTTTTTTCTCTTCTGAATTTTGTTCCAGGACCCATCAGTTACACAGGTGACAAGAAATGTTCCACCAGGACTTGACGAATATAATCCATTCTCAGATTCCAGAACGGTAAGATCATTCTTACTTGGATTACTTTGAAATGTTTGAATGGAAATTCAGTGGGAATTACATTTCAGTTATGGTTCCTTTTTCAGTTAATTGGATAAACTTAATGTAAAGCAGGCTGTTAATTTTTTATTTAGAATTCAACAAGTTAGGATTTTTTTTAACATGAGGGGATATTAGTAGTAATTGAAAATTACCATAATGATCCTAGTGAAATACTTGAGAATTTCCTTATGCAAATTAAATTGCTAATAACCCCTGTGACACGTAAACCTTTCTACAGTGCTTCACCTGAGTGAACTGGGCGGTGTCTCTCGGAGATGCGCTGTCGTCCTGGTCACAGGGGTGGTGTGGTGCATGGTTGTTGTTTGAATCCCCTGTTCTTGGTAGCACCAGCCTTCTGCTCAGGTGGAGTAGAACCTCTAGAACCTGACCTGGTTCTGGAGAACCTCTAGAACCTGACCTGGTTCTGGAGAACCTCTAGAACTTGACCTGGTTCTGGAGAACTTTCTAGAACTCGACCTGGTTCTGGAGAACATCTAGAGCCTGACCTGGTTCTGGAGAAGCTCTAGAACCTGACCTGGTTCTGGAGAACCTCTAGAACCTGACCTGGTTCTGGGGAACCTCTAGAACCTGACCTGGTTCTGGGGAACCTCTAGAACCTGACCTGGTTCTGGGGAACCTCTAGAACTTGACCTGGTTCTGGAGAACTTTCTAGAACCTGACCTGGTTCTGGAGAACATCTAGAACCTGACCTGGTTCTGGGGAACCTCTAGAACCTGACCTGGTTCTGGAGAGTGTATCCTTGCCCTCAGAACATGGTCTGACTTGTGAAATGTGGGGGTGTGGGGAGAATGAGATTCACTGCCCCGGAAACTCCCGGGGAGCTTGGGCCTCGTGTCTTACGGGCAGCTTCTTCCCCCTCAAAGCCCTTCTGATGCTTTTATTTTGAGCAGAATTTTAGGGCCACTGAGGTGGATTCTGTTGAGGCTTGTTCCCCGGATTTTTCGTTACATGATGTGGTCTGTATCTGGATCATTGGCACAGTTAGCAGTTTCAGAGGTTGGCTCTTGAAATGTCAGTCGCTGAAAGACACTGGAGTTGCTCGCTGGGATGCTTGGGTTTGCATATCCGTGCGGTGCTCCGTAACGGGGGCTGGCATTGTTACACAGCGGGCAGAGCTCTCTGCGATGCTGGCACCCCGTGTGGGCTCTGATTGCTTTCCCAGCTGCTCATTTCTCAGCCATCTCTCTGCTAATGGCCTGGGAAAAGCAGTGGAAGATGACCCAGATGTTTGATGCCCTTCTGCCCACGTGGGAGACCTGGATGAAGCTCCTGGCCCTTGGCGTGGGCGTCACCCAACCCTGGCCATTGGAGCCATCTGGGGAGTGAACCTGTGGATGAAAGATCTCACTGTCTCTCCCTCTCTCGGTGTAACTCTGACTTTCAAATAAATGAATAAATAAATAAATATTTAAGGGGCCAGTGCAGTAGCATAGGGTAAAGCTGCCTCCTGCAGTACCAGCTTCTCATATGGGCACTGGTTCGAGTCCCAGCTTGTCCACTTGTGATCCAGCTCCCTGCCAGTACCCCTGGGAAGGCAGCCGAAGAAGCTCCTGGCTCCTGCCTTCAGATGGGCCCAGCTTCTGCTGTTGGGACCATTTGGGGAGTGAACCAACGATGGAAGATCTCTCTCTCTCTCTCTAACTCTACCTTTCAAATAAACAAATAATTCTAAAAAAAATTTGTTTTCATAAGCCTAGAACGTAGTTCTGAAAGATTATGTAGCTTTTGTGTAGAAATTTCTTCAGTACACATTAACATGGGTCTGGCCCTGTGGCGCAGCAGGTAAAGCCTCCACCTACAGTGCCAGCATCTCCTATGGATGCCGGTTCAAGTCCTGGCTGCTCCACTTCAAATCCAGCTCTCTGCTATGACCTGGGAAACCAGCAGAAGATGGCCCAAGTCCCTGGGCCCCTGCACCCATGTGAGAGACCTGTGAAAAGCTCCTGGCTCCTGGGTTTGGATTGGCACAGCTCTGACTGTTGTGGCCATTTGCGGAATGAACCAATGGACGGAAGATCTCTCTCTGTCTCTGTCTCTCTCTCTCTCTCTCTGTCTCTGCCTCTCTGTAACTCTGCCTTTTGAAATAAATAAATAAATAAATCTTAAAAAAAATAAGACAATAACTGTTTAGTTTTAGGAAGTTCTGTGTGATTTCAAGGGGGGAAGGTGGAAGCAAGACTGTGGTTAAAGTTTGCTGATGAAGAATGGAGAGAGGTTGCATCTGATGGATTAGCAGACTTTCCTTTCAGGAAATAGGTTTGAACTTGGTGCAGTTGTTGCTTTAGATCACTCTTGACAACAGTAGTGTTGGTCTAGTTGTCTGCGTTGCGCCGTCTGCTTTGCTCTGTTGAATTCTCCTAATACTGAAATGTAGGTGTTTTTAATTTGCATTTTTTTTAGCTGGAAGAAGTCTCTAGGAGTCAGATTGTGCAGGATCTGCAGCCAGGTGCTGACTCAGCTGTTTGCTGCAAACCCTTTGCCTGCTCCATTTTCCCGGTGCTGCCTTCAGGGACAGGTGCCCAGGAGATAGAAGGTGTAGTTGTGATCTTGGAAAATTTCTCACCTGGTGGGGATTTTAAAAAATTACACAGTCACAAAGAAGATATATCCAGGACATATAAATGTAAATTATGGTCCTGAATTGTGAGACCTCACAGTCCCAGAAAGATTTTTGAGTGGGGAGCGTGGCACAGCGAGAAGCCAGTTTACCCTGAATGAGTTCCTTGATACCTGCAGTATCAGAACCAGGAGGATCAATGTTGTGAGAGAACAATAAAAAAGTACTTTTTCCACTGCATGATGGAAAACACAGGTCAAACAGTAATTAAACATTCCTTTGTTTCCTGTGTGATCCAGTCTCAGAAGTTTGTCTGTTTGTGTGTGGCTGTGACTCTTTGCCAGACACCGGAGCTGTGTGTGGATCATTGATTGCAGTGATGTGCTAGACCTTGGTCCAAACGCTGTTTTAGTTGATTGCTGGTGTTCATAGTCATTTTGGAGAATGTTTTGAAGACGAAGCTTCTGGATTGCTGCCTACGGGAGTGCTGAGCTCAGCAGTCAGAAGGGAGCTCCCGCAGCGGGCTGCGAGTGTGACCTTGCTGGGGTTGAGTGCTCCTCGCCTGCCCTCCTCCTCCTCCAACTTGTTCCTTCACTTTGTCTGGAAGGCAGAGGGAGAGCGAGATGCACCAGCCGCTGGCTCAGGGGTGGCCGGGCTGCTGAGGGCCTTTGGGTGTTTTAGCATCATTCACAGGCCATAGAAGGTCATCAGCTTGAAAATCAGCCTGCTATAAATTTACAGAATTTTGAGTTCCGCCTGAGGTTGCCCGGGCAGGGCCAGACAGCCAATTTCACAGGCCTCCCCTGGCCGGCGGGCTGGCTGTCCCCACCCCTGATGGGGGCCATGGGGCCGTCTCGGGGCATTGCCACGGAAGGCTGCGGAGCACTGGAGATGTGGCCAGTGGGACTGAACGCGCTGCACGAGAGGGGGGAAGCTGTGAGCTGTGAAGTCATCTTGTGGTTTGAATTAGAAAGTGTGTTTTCCTCCTGAAGTTACGCCGCGCTTGGTGGTGGGCTCCCTGGCCTGCCCTAGACAGTGGACGTGTGGATTAGGGTGCGGGGTCTGGTCTCTGGGGTTGAGTGTGCTTGGTGGTGGGCTCCCTTGTGCGTCACAGCTGCAGTTCTTTTTGCTGCCCGATTCTCGCTGGGTTCTGCCCCTGTGGTGGCACGCATGGCTCTGGTGAGGACGGGGGGACAGGGACAGCCTGGCGTGGCGTGCTGTGGTGCTGCAGGCCCGTTTGCTGGCCAGCTTGCTGTCAGCCTTCTCTCCCTCAGGGCTGGTTTCCTGGCTCCCCCGTAGAACAGGAAGAGCCGTCCCAGCGTGGGAAGGGACGTGCCCCAGTGGTCATCTCGGACTCTCGGGCAGAACGGCCAGTAACAGCTCAGGACGCAAGGCAGGCTGGGCGTCAGAAGCTCTGCATTTTGTTTATTTCTAAAACTGGTCCTTCTTTGTTTAAAGCACTGGTTTTCTCCCCGACGTGTCTGCAGTGGGGCTGCAGGCTGCAGCTGGGAACCAGGACCTCCCCTCGTTCCCCTGTGCGTGGTTGGAACCCAGTCGCACTGCTGCCTCCCAGGGTCTGCGTCGACAGGAGGCCTGAGGCCAGAGCTGGGTGTCCAGTGCACACTGCTGTGTGGGACATGGCGTGTTGACTGCTAGGCAGACACGCACCCCAAGAAGTTCCAGGTCTTCACATGCACTTTACCACTGAGTGGTTGTTAACTTCCGGCAACCTTCTTCATATCTGTGTCATTATCTGCACTTCCCTTAATGTGCTACGACTGAGGAAAATGGAGGGAGGAAAATGGTGAGTGAACAATTTCTTTTTTAAAAAAAGATTTATTTATTTATTTTAAAGGCAGTGTTACAGAGCTAGAGTGAGACAGACACACACACACACACACACACACAGATATTTTGTCTGCTGGTTCGTTCCCCAAATGGCTGGAACAGCCAGGGCTGGACCAGGAGCTGTATCCGTGTCTCCCGTGTGGGTGGGAGCGCCCACGCACTTGGGCCATCTGCCGCTGCTTTCCCAGATGCGTGAGCTGGCGCTCATATGGGATGCTGATGTCACGGCTGGTGGCTTAACCGGCTGTGCCACAACACTGGCCCCTGATTAAATAATTTCTAATTACACTTTGCTTTTTCAAAATGAAAGTCTTTTTAGCTCCTGGAACTGGCTGGATATAATCGTGCGTAGTAGTTACCCACCTTCAATGCTGTGAAAGTTAGTGCCTGTCTTTTTCCTCTTTCTGAGCTTCTCAGGGTTTTGTCCTCTCAGAGCTCCAAGCGGTCACTCTGGGTCAGATCTTTGCTTCCAGTCCCATGGAACGGTGCTGTGGCCTCTGCCTTCCTCGGGGGTTACAGATCCCAAGTCCTC